CTACCTAGCAGAAGAGCAGTGCATAATATGCCTCACAAAATAAAAAAAAAAAACAAAAGCACAACAAACAACCCAAAACAAAGTATAAAAAAGCCTCAAAAACCTATGTAAACATCTGAAGTCTTTTCCAAGACCAAATTCAGAATAATAGCTCAGGATGTTTTTAGATTCACCAGATAATTATCTTTTTGCTTGAGGGATGACCATGAACAAAATACATTCAAGAATTTAAATACAGTGAGCAGAATTTAATTAGCCTGACTCTGATAATCAAAGCACCAAAGCAGATGAACTAAGTCTACAGGAATCTGTGTTTAATTTTAAATAAATTGCATAATTCCAATTTATTTTCACAATCTCACGTTAGTTCAGGCAGTAAAAATTTAATACATCAATACAAATTGAGACACAGTTAAATATAAGGCCTAAATGGAGTCAGACAAAAAAAAAAAAGAAAATAAACCATTGCACAGTAATCTAAAGCAAAAAAGCAGAATGCAGATTTGAATAATGCACAACAGTTTGAATAAAGCAGCATAATATTAATACGTATTTAAATAAAAGGAGTAGATAAAATTATTTCTCTTTGAGGACAAGATTAATGCATTTGTATTTGATCTGGTTGACGGTCAGAAATTTTATGTCTGTGAGGCAACCAAAATCACGAGACATTTCTTTAAATGTCATTACTGCTTTTGGCCCATATTTTGATTCATCATTACTGTTAATTACTAATGGCTGAGGACTATATTATGTTAACTAAGTAACAAACTGGATTATGCTTGAGGTTTTAATAAAGATAGAATTCATAATTCAAAAAGAAATAAGGTGTTTCTTCTGCCCTTTCTTATGACAAATCTGAGGTCAGCTTCTTACAAGTCTCATAAATTAAGATGAGATGGAAATCTAGACAACAATTATTATTTATTATTTTAATTACTTTTTAAGGCAATTTTTTGGTTTATAAGAAAGGATCCAGCTATTTCATTATTGTTCATGGCAATGTTTTCCCTGTGAAACCCCAACATCCAGTAAAAAGTCAGCAAAGCCATCAATAAACAGAGGTGAAACACAACATCTCAGCCTAAGTGTATATACTGATGTAGGCTCTGAGAATTTTTTGTTTTTACAGTAGTGCACACAGTGGAAGAACTGGGGCTGTGATTCTTAGATTCCATGATAATGCAAACAATTATCTGAAGAAAAACAGAAAACAAAAAATTGGATTCCATTGTTCTATTTTTTTATGAGGGGTAAACAAGACTTTTGCATCTTTTGTTCATTAGCTAAAGAAACAAAATTAAACTGAGATTCCAGACTCTGAATGGCAGTCTAATGGGAATAAGGCAAGCAAATGATCACAGAATTTGCTATTCCTCTCTACATGGTGTTGCAAAACATTGGTAATTGGATGCAAGTACATTTGACTAATATTAAACATGATCAAACATCAGATCAAATGGAATCATCTGTAATGTCAGTCAGAAGAGTGAAGAGTGGAATCTGTCAAGGGAGACATAATCTGCTCTTTATTTTTAATGCAGTTAGAGTAAAATCCAGAAGAGGTTTGGATAGGATCCGACACCACCACTTAAACAGATTTCATTCTCGATGGCAAGGGTTCCCATCTATTCCATTCACAGTGGCAATTTTTATAGAAATTGGTCAGGCGGTTACCTACAGAAGAATTTATCATGCACACAGGTTCCAGTAAATAGCTTGATTCCCAGAAACAGTAGTCATGAAAACGTGTATCACCCTTGGCTAATCTGTCAATACAACCATCTGATTAACAAGGACAGAGGGAACAATAAAGAAGAAAAAAAAAAAAAAAAAAGAAAAAGAAGAGAGACAAAATGGGATGCATATCGAGATAATATACTTGCTTCCTTCAGAAGAACTTTAAATCTTTTAAGAGTACTGGCACAGAAAGACTGCAACAATTAATGAGGTATAAATTATACAGAGATCAGTATAGTAGTTCCTTCCAATTCCCATTGTAACTCTACTGATTTCATTGCAAACCTATTAAATAAGCACCCACCATTTCTACATTCACATATATGAGTTAAAATTTCTATAAATATGCTCTCATGAGACAATGATGCTTTACCCTTTTGCAAAACACCCAAATGCACAGAAAATACCTCTAACAAAAAACTAAAAGCCCTACTACAGGAACTAAAGAATCATCAGATCACTCTAATTACAGGCCATATTTCTCAGAGTCTGCCCTCTCTAATACATATCACTGTGTGCCTGTGCATTGCTTTAATTGCCTGAAAAAAAAGCCTCTCACACACACTTGCCTCCTTGGGGGAAGCTGACAGCACAAATATGCAGTGGCTGTTAATTATTCAATGCACTTACCAGAAGACTCTCAGGTATTATGACGATAAGCACAGTGTAAGAGCACACATATAAAATAATAGAACAGCCCACACTGTAAAAGTCTGACAAAGCTGGAATGAATTAGAGGCTGGAGCAGACAGCAGACGTTAATAATTCCACTAGAAAAATGTTCTTTAACAGATTTTGAAAACTTATGTTCATGCTTCCTTTCTATCATTCATATTAGCACTAACCCATATTGCTTTTCAGGCTGACTGATTTTCCCTTGGTCTTTCAGAGTACTTAAGTACTATGCACCTCTCTGAGTGGCTCAAGAAGACACATACAATGTCTGCCATGCCTTCAACAGCTGCCACTGAAAATACCTGTGCAATACTTTAATTTGTTCTTAAAAATTCTACAACTTAAAATCTATTCTAATCAAAAGAGGCTCTGGATTGTTGCATAAACTAGATGAAACTGAAACAGCTCCAGACAACGTATTGCTTATGAGATCCAGCAAAACTCTTGCTATATTTATGAAAACAACTGTTTTTTAAAGAAACATTTTTGCTCACTCTTAACTGCAGAAAAATGAAAACATGAGAAATGAACAAGTTTGACTCCAAGGTTGCTGCAGCAGAAATCATTTCATTCCAATCCATTCTCTTTCTAACCTGTGATTTAATTATTATTATTAATATTTAAGGGATTGTGAGAGTTTAGTGGTACTTAAAACAAAATTTATTAGGAAGGAATAACAATTTTAATATGCAGGTGTTACTAAACACTAATACGGATTTTTAGTAAATAGAATAATACTCTAGTTTAGATATTTACAAAATTACAAAGAAATATGTAGTCTACATCTGCCACCTACTGTAAGAATAAAATACTGCGGGTCTCCTACCTGAACAAAAATAGAAAGATTATTGTCTTACAACTGTTTTTTTAAATGGCAAATAAAAAAATAAATTTAAAAATTAGAACCAAATATTAAAAAATAAATAATTACTGATTATATAGGGTTGAAACAATAGGTGTACTATATAAATATATAAATCTATGGTTTGGAAAACATATTTTTTGTTTGCTGTAATTTTAAAAATGGGGATTCAAACAGCATGAAGAAAATGAACCTATAATTTTAGAGTGTTTGGCACCACTGGGAGATTGTGTATGAGTAATACCTATAAGCATCATAGTGAAGTATGAATGTTGGACTTTCTTCAGTGTTTGCATACTATTTTTAACATATAAATAAAATTCCAGCTTTAAAATCTCTTTAATATATGCAGAAACACTGTAAAAAAATAACTCTAGGTTGTGGTGTGATTTTGTTATTGGGAAATGTATCTATAGGGTGGACATGTATATATATCCACATTTAAGCACTGATTTCCCTATCATTTATACCCTTTTTAACTTTCTCCATAGACCTGTGTTGAATTAGTACAATTGTATATATGCATGTCTATAGGCTTTGAGGCCATGGATCTTTTTCTGACTGCCCTATTTAGCAGAAGAGGCCAAATTTGCAGTGGTGCACAGTCATCAACTTCTTTTACCTAATCAGGCCAGTAATAACATCACCTGGGAAAAGAGATAGTGTCAAAGAGATAGCAGAAGTAGAGCTGTATTAGTAGAGCTTTCTTTTGAGCACAGGCAAAAATTCAGTGTTTACCTGGGCAGATTTTGGCACATTCCTTATGAACCCCCATCAATGGACCCAGATCCTGAACAGCAAAAAAGCTTGTTCAGCTGTTCACAGATTCACAGAATGTTCTGAGCTGGAAGGGACACACAAAAATCATCAACACTCAAGTCAGCTTCTCCTTATGACTACTTACCCTCAGCTTTGGGAAAAACCAAGATGGTTTCCTTAGGCTTCAAAGCCCAGTGTTTAGAATCCCGTATGAAGAAGACAATTAAAACAAAATCAAGTCAACTCGGAACAAGACTGTGACAAACCTTCACAGAAGCATTACTTCACTCAAAGGCAGACATCTTCATCTTACCTCTCAATAGAAATCTGAGTGCTACCCTTTAATAGACTAATGCCTGAAGAAAACCATCTGCTAGCTGAATAAACTTTAAGCCACATTACAGACGTCAGAATTCTTTTCTTTTAATCACAAAATATCCTTCTAATCTATTTCTACCTTGGAAGATAATATTTTTCATTTTCAAGGCATCCATCTAAATTTATTCAGCATTTCTTATGCCCACAATACCTACAACTTTTGTATCATTCTTTCTGTACAAGGATGTCTCATGAATGAAACCCTTACCTTCTAAAAGACAATGCTATTGAGAAAGTGGAACTTTCACAGAATGTGTTTAATTTGAAGTATGTCAACTGTTTTAGGACTATATATATAGAGAGAGAGAATATATATATATTTATTTAAGCCTTGAAGTTCACATTACTTTTTTGAATTTATTTTTTTTTTAATATTGCTCAGAAATGCTTTTAAACTGTGAAGATCAATGTCCCACTTGGGGGGATTACATCAAGCAAAATTTAGTCTGCTCTTTTTCTCTTCTGTTCTTGGTTATCTTTCAGTTCTCACCCTCCAAGTCCAGCTATCACACTGGTCTCTTTCACTAAAGTACCAGAATTGACAGAATTATTTTCTTTATTTGTTTATGTTTTCCTGGGAAGGAAAAAGACATTGGGGATTTTGTTTTTGTTAGAACTTCTGGCAACAAGACTGTCTTCAGATGGGCATTTCATCCTTCAGTGTGGTTGTTTTCCACCTGGACCAGGGAGGTGCTGCTGTTTATTCCTGGCTCAGATAACCACCCTCTTCTCTTTCATGGAGACTGGGGAATAGGTGAGTAGAGGATGATATACATCATACAACACCTGGGTTCAAAATGTAGTCTCAGGCCAGACAGCTCATTTCTGTCCCACATGCTGCTTCTTCTTGGTGTAGAACTAGAGCTTCCACTTGCTGTAGAACTCAAGCCCTCTTGCACACCTCTGAATTCTGTTCTGCTGAGAAAAAATATATGAAGAAAAAAAAAAAGAGAGCATACTAATGGAAAAAGGCCTATCTTTTGCTGAAAGACCAAATATGAGCAGTGTCAGAATTAATTCTGTTTGACAAGAATCCCTCCCAAACATGACAGGAAGCTACATTATCCAAATAATGAGGATTCCAGCTGAGGTAAGTCGGGGAAACGCACGGACTAGTTTATGCAAATACAATGCCTCATTTAACATCTAGGATATACAGACAAGTTCAAGAAGGCCCAGTGTTAATAAAAGCACATTAGAAGATTTTGAGAATAGTCAAAATCCAATCACATTTTGCAATAGACATACCTGTCCTAGAAATTCAGTATGGTCTCTAGGGGATTTACTGTACATTTCTGAACAGCAGAGCAAGTACAGCATGGTTTACAGAGATTTGCTGCTATAAAAATGCAGAAGGCAGCGACCTGTATAACTGCATATAATGCTGCTATCCAAGCTTTGCTTTAAGAGGAATTTCTTTCTCTCACCCAACACCCCTCCCTCTGCAGAAGGGGATTGGAATTTCAGATAGCATCAGTCATCTTAATGCCTCATTGTTAACCACCTGTGTGTTTCAGGTACTAGACACCACTTTCAACAGAAAACTACTGTACCAGAAGATGTATCATCTAAGAAATAACCTTTATTTTTCTTATTTCTTCCTTATCAGGTTTTCCTTAATAGGAGTTAATTTCTATCCTCTCTTTACATTTTAGAAGAGCCCTTCCTTAATCACTGTGCGACACCAAGTGGCATTGGAACTTCAATACTTGTGGAGAGGATTGCTCTCAAAATCACGGCTGAATGCAGTCAAAATGCCCTGGGTCATGGCGGGGGAGTGCCTTGCTCTGCTCACATTTCAAGTGAAGCGTGCAGATAGGAGAAACTACATATGCCCAAACTTTTTTAATCTCTTCATATACACAGAAACTGAAAAGACGTTTGTCAATTTAAAGGAAGTTCCTCTTATTTTAAGTAACTGAGAACACTGTGCATCTCTTTTCTTCCTCAAACAATAAATCCAGAAAAAAACTGCTTAAAATTGCAAGACTAGCTAAAGTAAATGTTTTTTTTCATTTACCACTATGAAGGACTCTTATAGCACATCTTGGTCTGGATACTACCCAATATTTGTCTTATTTTTTCAGTACACACAGTGAGCACACAAACACCATTTCTCTTCCACAGTTGCAGTATCCCCCTCAGGCAAATGAGGTAGATTGCAGTAGCTTGCTCAGCCCACTGCTAAGTTTCTTAGTAATTGAAGTTAAGCACAAAAAAAAACCAGGAAGAAGTGGACTATTCCTTATTAAAAGCAGTGTAGTAGAGAGGAAAGTTGCTTCCGTTTTCTATCTTCCAAATATTGATCCAAGGCTTGCCATCTCTACTTCTGACACAGAACTCAAATTTGTATGCTGTGTGCATGTGTAAACCTTACTACTAGTTTTTCCACAGAGACCTATTCTTGCTCAAAAAGGGGCTGAATTTGGCCCAGTAATTTGCTGCACTTGATAGCAGATGACTTTTAGGATAACTGGTGACCTTCTAGACACCTCTGTCTTCGGAGCCTTTCTTTAAAATTGAACATTAAACAAGTTTGCATTGCAAGACAAAAAAATGCCCTATAAATAAATTATATTAAAATATATATATATATCTGAAGTCTCAGTCCCAGACTGGTTAGTGGTTTAAATATGTCAGTTAAATGAACCTACAGCTGAGGAAACCATGAGAAAAGGATCAACCTGTGGAGTGTCATGGTGTCAAAAAGACAGGACTACATTATAAAAGGACTCTTTGCTAACAAATTATCAGGTCTCAGGGTTACCACTGGAGAATGCAGCAAAGCCAGAGATCCTTTGAAAATAAAAATGTCCATTGTTACAATCACAAAGAATGCACTAATTCCCTCACTTTCTTTTCTCTAATCCCTGGTCTGGGAAACTTACTGCTTCTCGTTATGAGGGCAGTATAGCAGAATCATTCACCTTATGTTGCACTATGAGGCTATAAGAAAAAAAAAAAGGTCACAATCTGGGCTCTTCAACTGATTTACAATACTTATTTTTAAAACAAGCTACATAGCTAGTTTCTCAGGACTCTCTAGAATCCCTATCAGTATTTTGTCAGATTTCAGATTAAATTGATTATCCCAAACAAAACACAAATATGAATCACGTTTTCCTACTGAAAACTAACTTAATTAATTAATAACGTTGCTTTGTGCCACTCCTGTGAAGAGAAATAACTATTGAGTCAGTGAATCTGTCTCCTCTGGGATCCCCTCTTCCCCAGGGACTGCATGGATGGTACACACCTACTGCAATTATTCTTAGACTGAAAAAGAACCCCTTTTTCTGTTGAGATGGCCTTATGGGGAAGTACCCATCTGATTATACACCCATATTTTAGAACATGAAGACTCTCAAGGAGAAGGGAATACATCAAAAACTTTTAGACTCTTCATCTGTGGTTTGCTACGTGTGTTAATAAAGGTCTGCCTGGCTGTTAACTGATTACCTAGAAAATTCACAGCATAGGAAAAAAAAAAATGCATTTCACTTAGTGTAGGGCAGGTGCTCCTGAATTCCTGTGTCTTTCATAGTGCTCTCATCCATAAAATGCGGGCTCCAGGTGCTACCTACTGGGAACCAAGGCCGTGTGAAAAGTGATCCTGCACTTATCAGCCAGCAGAGGGAGCAGCGTAAGTAAGAGGCTGTCAAATAAAGAACAGGAAATTTGCGTTCTTATTTTTTAGGAACAGCACTGAAAAGTTATTAAAATCACGTTTGAAAAGTAATTAGTTCCTTCTAATAGTCTTGTCTTCTCTGTGCACTTTTCTGGTAAGTGTACAACTTCATGTCAGGAGTTCTGCTCTGGCATATACTTATTTCAATGAAAATATAGACTAGAGGTGACAGATTCCACAGTAGATATGAGCCCACGTTGTAATGGTGTAATAAAAAGAGATAGCTAGTCCAGAACAGTCCCTTGCATGTTTTAAAACCTAGGTGTTTCTACTCTAAAGATAAGGATTACGGCATGAAACGTACCTAGTAGTTCAAAAAATGAGCAGAAAGATGATGTCGCTTGACAGGTAAGTCTGTGTAAACTCTTCTGCTTCAGAATGAGCATTTCCAAAAGCCTAAAACTTCCATTACTGATTAACAGTCAATGATGCAATGGCCACAAGGACTGTTGTCTCTCAGCAAAGGTGCAAAATGCAACACAAAAAAAATTATTATTATTATTATTGTTGTTGTTGTTACGTTATTGTTATTATTCTTTATTTATTTTGTTTGGATTTTTTGTTTGTTTTATTTTACTGTGCAACTGCTAGACAGAGCAAATCAGCAAGGGGGTAAAACATGCAGCCTACAGCAAAGTCTAGCTATCTTAAAGGAAGTAATATTTTTTGTACAGAACTGCAGCTGTGCAGCCTTCCCCTGCACTGAAGACTGTCCCTTGTGTGCATTATGCTCTGCTGTACCAACACAAAGGACAGGGTTTGTCTCACCTAACCTGGGCTGCCAACAGCACAAACTGTTCACTGCAGGTGCTGTGAAAATCCAAGGAGACAAATAGGCAATTCTAGAGCAAAATCCTTGTCATTTATTTCAGACCTGCAAATTAGGATAAGATGAGCTGCACCCTAGAAAGGGGCTCAGAGTGATTAGAGCACAACTAGAAGTCTGGATTTGAGAAATGGACGCCACCTACGCTGTCTGCTCCCGAGGGCCCATTGTCTCCACACATTAGGCAGGCAAAGAGCAGAAGCTGAAGCACTGGCAAACTATCACAGTGCTCTTATGGCTCATTGCTCTACTCACTGGAAAAGCTGGCTTTGGGGGGATTTTTTTGAGGGGTTAAGAGAAGCCCATAGTGTCTCTCTTAATTTTAATTAAAATATTCTAAATTCAACGAGCAAATTCATCACCACCTAAAAGTAAAGAAATAAAAAACCTAATAAATCAGTATGATCTCCGAAACTCTAGACCTACACTCTAAAGCTGTCTTTATGTTTTATCAAAGAGCCTCTGACTAGAATTTTGCTCCAAACTGGCTCATTTCCTGATACAGCTGTAGAGAAAGATTACAAAACTGGTCACAATTTGTACTGTCATTACCCCTCTGCAACCAGCACATTAAGGTTGCAATTTACCTGCTATTGTGAGACTCAGAACATTTCAGCCACTATTTTAGCAAACTACCTTAATCACAAAAGTGATGGAATGATAACAAAGAAAAAAGTTTGGGATTTGGGGATTCTAGTGGTCATTTTGAACTCAAACTGAACCACAGCAATGTTAGTGTGAGTGGAAGAATGATATCTGTTCCTGTGATTGAAAAATATAAGAGTTGTATTCTATTTTTAAGGGTTTTTTTAAGGATGAAAAGCTATATTTGATGTTAATGTTGAGGTAATAGTTTCATTGGTTTGTTGGTTAAAATTACCTGAGGCATCCAGGCATTCCTATTTTCCCTTCAGAGAATCTGAAGGGAATAGAATAGCAAGCAGCATCTTGCGTTATTTGCTGACTGCTTCTGGTTTTTTGTTTGGTTTTTTTTCTATTGGTTTTAGAAGTTTATTTTATTTCATTTCAGATAGTTTATTCCTGCCTAATAAACTGTTCTAATAGCAGTGGCCTGTTGCTATAGGACTGGTTTGTTATGATAATATCAAGGAAAACAACACTCATCTAAGAGCAAACCCTAATGCTGCATTCTATATAATCTCTAATTGTATAGTCATTCACAGTATTTTTAACTACACTGAAAATACATCTCTTTGCATGCACTTTTTCACTTTTAATGCTCCTAAGTTCATGACTTTGAGTATGCAGAAGATAGAGGAGTTTTGGTGCAGTTCTGAGAAAAGAGATCCTGTCAAAAGTCTTAATGATATGGGCACATCCCATATGGCAATCAAATTATTTTCTCAGGATGCTTGTTTCTAACACTGCTTATCAATAGTA